TTGTCGTACGCTCTCTCAAAGTCCACTTTAAAAATGACTCCATCTAGTTTCTTAGAGTGAATTTCATGGATCGTTTCATGCAAGACCACCACCCCTTCTAGGATGTTTCTATCCGGCATGAAAGCTGTCTGGGATTGCTGCACCACAGAATGCGCAATCTGTGTGAGCCTATTCGTCCCAACCTTGGTAAAAATTTTGAAACTAACATTCAGAAGACAGATAGGCCGGAACTGCTCAATCCTCAGAGCATCTGTCTTTTTTGGTAGCAATGTTATGGTTCCAAAGTTCAGGTGAAATAGATGAAGCCGTCCAGCAAACAGGTCATGAAACATGGGTAAAAGATCCCCCTTGATAATATGCCAGCATTTTTTATAAAACTCCGCCGGAAACCCATCCGGCCCAGGAGCCTTATTGTTCTCCATCTGGGAAATGGCATCGAAAACTTCCTTTTCCGTAAACGGTGCAATCAAGCTAGCATTATCAGAAGCAGTTAGTTGAGGCACATCCTCAATCCTGGACTCATCTAGGGACACCGCGCTATCCTCCGGCGGTCCAAATAACTGCTTATAATATTCGGTGATGTAGATCTTTAGATTATCGTGACCCACAATTGTGCCTTCATCTTGCTCGAGCTGAAAAAGAATTTTCTTTCTGTGTTTGCCATTTGCAATAAGATGAAAGAATTGAGTGTTCGCATCCCCTTGGATTACCTTGCGAACCTTTGCTCTGAGCGCCCACTTCAGCTCTTCTTCACGGAGAAGTTCCTTCAACCTCTTCTCCGCATCAAGCTTACAAGACAAATCAGCAGACTGCAGAATTGTAGATTCAGCTTTAACATCTAGGGATCGTATAAGATCTAGGAGTCTATCCTTTTCAATCTTATAAACTCCACTTAGGTGTTTGGCCCATCCCCGGAGAAAGCTCCTCAAATGCCTGATCTTATTCTGCCATCTCTCGACGGACGATTTTCCCCCAGTATCCGTAGCCCACTCCCTAGCTACGAGATCCAGGAAGCCTTCTCGTTCAAACCACGCCGTTTCGAAAGAGAAGGTATTTTTGTTTCCCACATGCCTTGGTTCACCGGAGTCTACGAACAAAGGCGTGTGGTCCGAAATCCCACGCGTGAGAGCCTGAACCGTGACGAGAGGGAATTTCTGTTCCCATTCGGGACTTGCTAGCACCCGATCCAACTTCTCGTATGTCGGATTGGGTAAAGAGTTAGCCCAGGTGAATTGGCGACCAGAAAGCTCGATCTCTCTCAGATCCAAGCTCTCAATGATGGTGTTAAACATAAAAGACCATCGGCCGTCAAAGTTATCATTGTTCTTCTCGTCCCTCCTCCTAATGATGTTGAAGTCCCCCCCAACCAAAATGGGAAGTTGTTCAGATCCACAAATACGAACCAAGTCTGCCAAAAACTCCGGTTTAAGCTCAGGTTGTGCGGCCCCATAGACCGCCACCAGAACCCAGTTAAACCCATCTACTTTAGACCTGACTCGAAATTTGACCGCGAAGTCACCCATAACAACGCTCCGGACTTCCAGGGAGTCACATCTCACACCAAGCAAGATGCCACCGGACCTCCCTCTTGGAGGAAGACAATGCCAATCGAACTCCACTCCTCCCGACAAAGTGTTAAGAAACTGTGGCGCAAAATTCTCCCTACCAGTTTCAGAGAGCGCAATGAAGTCCAAACTGTGCTCTAAAGATGCCTCCGCTAGAAACCTACGTTTAGCCAAGTCCTTAAGACCTCTGCTATTCCAGAAGATTCCTTTCATAGGTCATCATGGAATTTTTTGGCAGTCCGAATCCTAGCACTCCTACGTACCGCGGATGCAGGATACACCTTCCGCTTCCACTTACGCTTAGGAATGTTATTATCCGTAACCCGGTCCTCATAACCGTGCTCCGGTTGTGCAATTACTATTTCCTCCACACCTACTTCCTCCTCGTCAGACTCCGCCGACGTAGGAACAAGATCCGCACAGAAGGTGTCCAGCACCCTTACCCCCAATGCGTCAATCTCAGCATCATTCATAGGTTTTACTGCCGCTAGGTTTCTAATGGTTTCTAAGGCCCGTTCCGCTTCCAAATCTAAGAGATCATTCTCCTACTTATCATTAAGTGAAATGGAAAAACTTGATACAAGTTGGTCTCACACCACCTCCATTTTCGTGTTTGTTTGAGCTTTAGGCAGCAGCATATAAAAAATAGAAGCTGAATCAAATATCTATTTGGAATCAACTTTGTCAGTGAAGCTGGATGTGCAGCGCGGCGAGATGCATCGGGTCCCAGGGCGCCGGCGGCAGGGCCGGCGAGGGGGGCGGAGACGCCATGGGGAAGCCGTAGCCGCCGCTCAGCTGCGGCAGTGGGTACTCTTGAGCGGACGAGTGCTGGCCCGCTGACGACCCCCATCAGTATCCGGGAGATCCGTACACGGACGGCGCCCCCTAGGCAAGCGGAGCCCTGTACGTGGGAACGGGCGCGTCGAACGCCCCGCGCGACAGCAAGAGGTCGACGGACAGAGTCGGTGCCGGCGGCAGGGCGACGACGAACTGGCCGGAGAGCGTCGGCGGTGGGGCGGCGACGTACACCGGGGGGCAGCGGAGCCAAGCCATGCGGCAAGTCGGGGTGGGCTGGCGGGGCGACGCCGGATGCGTCGTAGGTGGCGCCGCCCCGTACGGCGGCAGGGTCGCGCCGTAGGGCGCCGGCAGTGGAGCCGCGCCAGAAGGCGCCGGTGGCGGGACGGCAGAGGTGGCAGCGGACGGGCCGGTGGACGCCATCGCTGGTGCACCCAGACTGCACGTACGTAGACGAAAGCTAACACGGTAGCTGATCGATTCTTCACGGAGCTACCAACCAAGCACACAGGCAGGTGGATGCTTTTGACGGAGTCAAAGCTAGCAAGCTATGCATGTATAGCAAACCACCGCCAGATACGTGACTGATATGATCTCGCCGAGAACACAAGCACGCGAGGACACGAGACGCCGACGGATCGCAACAGGATGAAGTTAGCGGGCGCGCGGGCGGGTAGCGAGCGGCGAAGCGGTGAGCGGGTCAGGAGCGATCGGGCAAGAGCGGCGGCCGGCGACGGCCGGCACCGGGAGGCGCGCGGGCGGCGGCGGCAGCGGCGGAAGCGAGAAAGAAACCTAGAAAATTGATACCATGTATGAGGTTATGATTGCACGATGTATTGCTCTTCGTGCATAGACACTTATATATGGTGTATAAAGGTGGGTCACGGACCTCAACTATATAAGAAATTGGGAAGCGGACCGAATACACAATATCACATAACACATATACTTAACAAAAAAAATTATTTCTTTGTGGTGCGCCAGGCTTCAACAAATTTCTGGGTGCACCACCTACTCCAACCTTACTTCCATGCTCGACTCACGCGGCCTTGACACCGCCGACGACCACCCGAGCGCTCTCACAAGAGGATTTTTCTCTCACTTCACCCATCCTAAGTTGAGCGACCTGACCCAACGGCGCACTGTCGACGAGGATACAAGAGAAGCCAAACAATTGTGGGACTATCGGTCCAGGAAGCCATGAGAAGGCTGCGAAGTTAACATCAACCCTCAGGAACAGCTTGCGCAGGAAGAGGCCATCTACGAAATTACTATGCGGATGACAGTATCCCAGCCGAATGGTGGACGATGTTGGATTGAACGGCCTTGTTTAATTTAGCTCTATTCATGTACGGCTTGATATGTTACATCGTCTGAAAATCGTCCACCGTGGTCGTCTGTGTAGCAACGTTCGGCCATCTACCATGAGCACGAAGATCTAGCTTGTTCGACGATTATTGCATGATTCCGGACAAAAAACACGCGTGCAACCTCAAGGCCGCCACTTTTCCAACGGGCGTGCGTCGCCGTGTCGAGGAAGAGCAGCATCACATACCCATTGTGCAGGGATACATGACGATGGGGTCGACGTTGGGGCGAGTATCGTCCGCCGATGCCATGGTTTAGCTAGCTCTAATTTTGCCGATTGATGGAGCCTTAAAAAACTATATATACTAGCTAGGTGGTTCTGTACATTACACTGTGACCTATACGATTCTGTCGTGCGATGATTGTCCATGATAATGCCCATAGATACTCCGCGCAACAAGGTAGTTACAGAACTATGTTCATTTAAACCGTTAATAGTTGTAACTCGTTGCTAGTTGACGGTGTCAATTTGTTTAGAGCTCACTTGGCACCCATCATTCGTTTCATTTGGTACAAATGAAATGATGCGTCTCCAACCTTAATTACTTCCATGCTCGACTCACGCGGCCTTGACACCGCTGACAGCCAACCGACCGCTCTCACAAGAGGATTCTTCTCCAGCTTCACCCATCCTGAGTCGAGCGACCCGACCCAGCGGCGCGCCGCCGACGAGGATACTAGAGAAGCCAAACAACTGGAGGACTATCGGCCTAGGAAGCCATGAGGAGGCTGCGAAGTTAACACCAACCCTCAAGAATAGCTTGCGTGGGAAGAGGTCACCTACCACGAGCACGAAGATCTAGCATGTCCGATGATTGCATGATTCCGAACAAAAAGATGTGTGCAACCTCAAGGCCGCCCAAGACATGCGAGAATACTACGACGAGCGCATCCACAACCTAGGGGGGGTCATACACGAAATCATCCCCACCAACCGCCTCAGATCTAGGAGCAACGAGGAAACTGCAAACTCAAGTTTGGCGAAATGAAAAAAGAGCCCGTGCGGAATTCGAGTTGGTCCATGACCAGCCCAACATGGTTCGTCCCAATAATCTTCGGCAACCGCTGGCACGAGATGGTCAAGAGTAAGGTTGTAGTATTGTAACACAATAGTTGATGACCCAAAGTTGAAAGTCAACATGACAAAAGTGCATACATGGTTGTTCAGCCCCACACAATTATTGGACAACAAGCAGACCGGACGTAGTACGTGTTACAGAGTGTGAGATCCAGAATAAACGAGATAGAAGCGGGCGCCGGAAGATTACTTAATTACTCCTCAGTGATGACTTCATTGGCTTGCATGCCTTTCTGGCCTTGGACGGCGACGAACGTGACCTGCTGGCCCTCCTTGAGGGATTTGAAGCCGGAGGCTTGGATGTTGCGGAAGTGCACAAACAGATCCGCGCCGCCGCCAGCGGGGGTGATGAGACCGAAGCCCTTTTCATCGTTGAACGACTTCACTATCCCTACCTGCCTCGGCGCCATACTCTCTCTGTGTGTATGTGTTTGTGTGTTGCTTGTGTTTAGGTGGTGGTGGTTGATTCTGCCAGACGGGGATTGAGGCTACTTATAGCCGCGGGTGAGCCGGACATGGCGATTTCAATCTTAGAGCAAACTGTCCCGTACGTCTTCCTCCCGAGCCGTCCCCGCGTGGGCGACCGGGAGGCCCCAGATCCCATCGCCGCCAAATCTCCCCCACTCCTCCTCCTCCTCCCTCGCAGCCGCCCAAGGGCGCGGCCAGGCGAAGCCTAGCCGTCGCCGGCGGCGGCGGGGACTCGGACCCTCTCGCTCGGGTGGGGCTGGCGCGGGCCGGTCGCCACGGCGGGTGGTGGCGGCGCCTCGGTGACGTCGATTCCCCGCGGCAGGAGGCCTTGCGATCTGGTGCGTTGCGGCCGCCAGGGACGGCGGCGGCGTGACCGGATCGCTTCGCGGCGGCGCGGTCGGATTGATCGCTGGTCGGCCGTCGGCACGGTGGTGGGTGCGACTCGTCGGCAGCTGGGCAGATCCGCGGAATTCTACCCTTGTCTGGTCCTTGACAGTGCAGGCAACTACGGGGGAAACCCTAGATCTCCTTGGGATCGAGCGATGGCGGCGCTTTTGCGTCGTAGTCCCTCTTTAGGGCATTGTTTTGGAGTTTGCTCCGGTTGAAGGGACCAGCGACGTCGGTGGCGCACGTCTGCTGGAGCAACTGCCGATGAAAATCGCGCCGACTACGGTCATGGCGGACGATGGCGGCGTCTTAGATGTCGTTCCCTTGTCGAGGCATCGTTGTTGCAGTCTGCGTCATCAGGCTCGGGATGCTCCGGGGGAAACCCTAGATCTGGGTCTTCCGGATAGGACGATGATGGCGTTTTATCGCTTTCCCTCCTGGGGGCATCGTTTTGGAGTAAGTGCTGGCTGGGGGGATGGTGGAGCGGTGCTTCATCTCACACATCGATGACGGCGGATATCGGCGGCATGGCGTTGTGGAGGCTCGGCGTCCGATGCACGGAGATGGACTCGCCAGGAGGAGGTTGCTGTCTGGCGTCATGGTGACGTTGATGGCAGAGTGACCAGACAAGGTAGAAGCCTCAATATGATCTGAAGACGGACATGTCGAAGATGGCGGCGACGACACACGAGTGCGTCTGACCGGATTGTGCTCCAGACCCGGTATGTGGCTCGGCTGGGGCTTCCGAATATGTTTCGGCTTCCGGCTTTTGATGTTAGGATTGGGTGAGTGGTTTGGGTAGTGGCCCACCTAGCACCCCTTCATCATTTTGGATAGGAGTAGCGGCATGTGTTGCTAAGATGGTGGATTCAGGCACATTCTTGTAATACTTTGTAAGGTCCTCGAGAATAATCAATAAAGTGGCAGTATACATCTCCCAGATGCAGATGCAGAGGCCAGGAGTCATTCTCCTTTTCTAAAAAAAACATGGTGATTAATCAAAATGATGCATGGCTGGCATGGCTAATACAATAGTAGTAGTGCTGCACGACGGATCATCTAAAGATTGGTCGATGGACCTTCCATTGTACTACTAGTATATTTGGCCAGGGGCGTGGAGAGGCATGGTTGGTAACGATCGATCTAAGACCAGCAACAACCTCGCGCCGATTCATTGAAAAATATTGTCATCGATAGCCCTTTCCCTACAGTGTGTGAACCGCACCAACCTTTTTAGTGGAGACCAACTCAAGCCAGCCCAAAGGGAAATAAACAAGCCCGATTGGCTGGACGACCTAGACGCTGGGCACAAAATCATTCTCTATGCAAAAGAAACGAACCACCCAATTGAATGCTTTATTATTATTTTTTAAGCGATGCCAGGAAATGTGTGGAACCGTTGAACCGCTTTCAGACTGGTCTTTTTTTATTTTTTTGCCTCATATATTAATTAAGAGGGGAATAGAGTATTACAAGTGTCCATACAACACCACATGACAATTACTCGTGTATTATGATTTCCCCTAGTTTCTTTGCACCCGCGGCGACCCATAGTTTCGCTTCCTCGAGGATGATGTTGAGGACGATCGGGGGTGGTGCACTTTTATGTCGAAAGATCCTGGCATTCCTTTCATTCCAAATTGCCCAAGAGACAAGCATAGTGAGAGAGGCCATGGCCTTGCGTGATGGAATATCCATGCCGGTTCTTCTATCCCACCACTCTTCAACGGATCCCGCCAAGTGCCATGTAGATATATCAACATGTTCAAGGCCAATTTTGCAACCAACATGCTCCAGAGTCTGATGGTGCGACGACATTTGAAGAAGAGATGTGGCCCAGTCTCGGGCTCTCTTTTGCAAAGCGGGCATAAGCCACAATTTTTCCATCCACGCTTTGCAAGTCTGTCGGCAGTCCAAATTCTGTCCTGAAGGGCCAACCAAGCAAAGAACTTGACCTTTGGTGGTGCCCAATTCTTCCATATCATGCGGTCCAAGGGGGATATGACCAGGCCCAAGAATTGGGCTCTGTAGGTGTGACGCCCGGGTAATTAAGCTACAGTAAACCTCCGTTAATGATGCCACGTCACCACGGTTGCTGTTGCTAATCTCGCGTTAGTTCGGAACCGATTTAAATTCAAATTCAAAAAAATCAATGAAACAATAAAAGTTTTCAAATATAACACTAAAATGTTCGGAGTGATCCAACTAATGCATAGGTAATTGTGGTGGAGAAACCACATTTTTATAAAATGTTTAAATGCCCTTAGGTGAATAAAACAGTAGCAAAAACCAATATTTAAATGCTTTTATAATTAACAAAATACTAAACTAATATGTTTTGGGGTAAGACATATTGTTATAGTGGGTTTTAATGTATTACTAAATTCGGGATCATTTTAATATTAGATAAAAACTAAATGAAAGAGAAACTAGAAATAAAACAGAAAGGAAAAATAAATAAAGAGTAAAAAAATAAAAGAAAGAAAATACAAAAACAGAAAACAAACTAACCAAAAAAAAGAGAAAGCAACCCCCCCCCACTGGGCTCCGGCCCAGCAGGCCACAACCCTATTGGGCCAACCCACCGGCCCAACCGGCCACCACTCCCTCTCCTTATCCCCCCACCCCCGCAAACCCTAACCTGC